TTTTTATCATTCAATAAAACTTACTCTTCCATTTCTGTGTTTGAATTCTTGCTTTCATAGATTTTCCCATTTCAAAAGCTCCACTTAATGACTCTTAAGCTACAGATGCATTAGCATGCAACATAGTTTCACCAAGCCAAAAAAATAAAATAAATAAAGCCCATGCAAAGGCATTTCCTTGTTTGCTGAATCCAGATGTGTAAAAATTAGCAGTCATTGTCTCCTCTCCCTGTATGGAACATCTGTGTCCTACGTGAATTTCTGCCATAAAATGCAATATGCGACCTTCAACTACTGTGTAAAATGAGCTTTCCTACACAGCTTTGAAGAACTCCCTGTGCCGTTCTTCACAATAGACTCAATAATATACAGTTAACCTTGGGATAAGATACAAATCTCTAACACATTCTTTTGCCCTGCATAAACTGTCAGTGATATGACTATACAAATACAGAATTGTTTGTGCAAAACTGAATGTAGCATTAAATCCTGGGATGTTTTTGCACAGTTGTTAATGTGGAGCATTACAGAAGTGAAGTAACAGTTGGTTGACTAGAAATGGATTAGAAAATCACTGTTGGGATTTTGGGACCACATAAGATGCAGAGAAAGAACCACAGAAGAGAGGAAGGAGGAAACAAACAACTGTAGAGCTAAACCCAGAAGAGATCTAAAAACAGAAGACTTATTACTGCCTGCAATAAGGCACTAAAAAAAATTCCAAAGCAAAACAGGTGTGAAGATGGTGCTTCATGAGAAGGTAGGAAAGGAGAACGGGACAAAAGTCTTTATCAGTGAAGGTACAGTGGATCTGTAACACTTTTATAATTAGCAATGACTTCTGAAAATTAATACCATGTAGATGCTAACAGTGGAATAAGAGTTGTCTAAGAACTAAGTCATTGTATCTCACATAGAAATGTAGACATTATAGCCCATATTAATTCAAAATTCTTAGTAAGACTGGAAGTCTTACTGTAATTTCACTGATTTTTGTCCTCTTTTTTTCTTGCCTTTGCCAGCTCTTTGAAATTATTTTCCAAATGCTACATTCCCATGAAAGGATTGATACCTGGGCCTGACAGTGCTCTTTCAAAACTGTACATTGTGACCACATATAACTGCAGCATCTTGTCCTATTCTATCAAACACTGCTAGGTGGATGAAAGTAACCTGTGTTTTTAATAGTTTGAAAGAAAGCCAACAAAACTGATTCTGGCAAGAGAAGGCATTTTTCATTATCTGCTGCTCCATAGGAAATACTTACCATAACAAGATAGACTTTTCAGTCGAGACAGTGGTGCTTTTAAGTTTAAGCTGTGACTTTTTTCCAACAGGCTTGCATTTGTAAGCAACTTTAAATTAGGAAATCCAGAATATAGATCTCCTCCTAAAATCCAGGAGGAGCACCAGTTTCCAGGTGCTTTTAAATTGTTAAATTATACGTAGAGGTAAGAATTCAAAGCTGTATTGCTTCAGATGTCTAGAAGGTAAAACCCAAAAGACTGGCTACAAGCTATGTTGTACATTAGTATTCCTGTAAGTTTTAATTTACTATTCTGTTTGTATTTTACATATTTTTTTTTCTCCTTGCTTTCTAGGGCTATCAGTAATCCCTGCTTCACACCCCCTCCCCCCTCCAGCCTTGTGGAACGAACCTGTTTCCTGTACTAGTGTTTGACATAAATGAGAATTTGCTTGTATAATACTTGTTGATTAACAATAGCAGGATTTTTTTTAAAGAAATAAAAAATGTATTCTAAAAGTGCATGTTCATTCATTCAAAAAAAAAAAAGTAAATTTTGTGTTTAAGTGCTAAAAACACACATTTCTAACTGGGGCAAAGCTGAATGTAGTTTTCATTGTTCAGTGCAACTCATCTTGATCCTCTGTATTTCCCTTTTGGGGATCTGCATAAATTACACAAATTATTTAATGAGCTGAATTGTTCTCTACTCTGTTGCTCTTGCTCCTACAAGTTTTGTATGATACCTGGACAAAAACTTTCTATTTTCCCATATCTTGCTTCTTTTACATTTGTAAAAAATGAACATTCATGAAGACGAAGCTGCTTTTCATAGTTGTTGCAACCTGTTTCAGGAGAGATACTCCCACTACGCCTTCTTATGAAAAGTCAGCTGTTCTCTTGCTGTTTCTTTCCCATAATGTGTCATTTCAGATTATGAGTGTACATAATTTACTGATAGACAAACTTCTGATTTCCTGTACAAATCTTCAACAATATTTTGCTTGTCATAGTTGCTTTGAAAGAAAGGGGAAAAAAAACACAACCCCCCTGTCCATTTAAAAAAGAAAGTATCGTTAGAATCTCTTAAGTGAAGGTAAGATAACAAAGAAGTATAAAAACTAAAAGGCTGCTATTTATTGAACATGCTTAGGTTCTGTGCTACCTTTAAGGTAGGTGGTTAAAACAGTAAGACAGAGAAGTTTCCTGTACTAAAATTAACAATACTAATAAATTAACTGGGGGGGGGGGGGGGGGGGGGGGGGGGGGGGGGGGGCGAGGGGAGGAGGGGAGGACTGAGGTGTCTTTGCTCAAAGAAAAGCTCCACACAATACAGATTACAGAGACCAAGAGCCTAGTGGAAAGACCAAAGCACAGGATATATACAGAGTAGAGATGGAGAAATAAATTTCTGACATGTATGACTACAAAATTTTAGATACCCAAAAAGATTGTGAATCAAAACAGCAAAAATAAGTGTGGATGGGGCTTTGGTAGTGTATAGCACAATTGGAAAATGCCTGTTAACTACTCAGGAGAATAAAACAGATGAACAGTTCAGAAGCTCAGGGCTTTGTTCCTGTGCAATGCTACTTTTATGAAAATCTTTAGTGTCTTCCAGAGAGTAAAGATAAATCCCACTGAAAGTGAGACAACAGCGTTTTATTTGTTGGAATTACTGATGAGCTGACAAGGATGTTGCCCTCTGATTCAGCTCTAACAACGCACTTTGCTCGTGGTTTGCTGTACTAAAGGCAGCAGTGTATCCATGCAGGGAGCGCCATATCAGCAGCAAAAGATAATCGTTGTCTATCTGGTAACACTTTAGCATGCAGCTTTTATTTAACACCTTTATCTGTGCCTAAACAAAGAACCCTAGCCTTTGTTCCAGCAAATCAGAAATGGGAAGCTTAATAGGTGTGTATTCTTGTAAAGGTCCCACAAGAGTCAAGATGTATGCTCTTTCTCTTCCCTTATTTATTAAAAACTGATTACCAAGGTATTTGTGTTATGTTTTGGCTTTAATATTCAGAAAAGTATGGAGTGTTATGTCTAGTTTATATGAAAACTTTGAAGCTCTTGCATGTATGCTTTACTGTACTTAGACCACATGAAACCTTGTCTAAATTCAAAATTTTATCACTAGCTTCAGGTAGAACATTAAAGTGAGTTTAGCTAAACTGGGTCAGGACCTTCTACTGATATTCTTAATTTGGTTCAACTTGACTTCAGCCAGTATTTTCATTTTGATGCAAAATAATATCTAGTTGCTGTGAACTCTTTTTTGTTTTATTTTAAGCCAATTGGCTGTCTGCACTTGTTTAAATCAATTACCTATGGAAAAAAAAATCAAACTGGAGATGTCTAGTCAGAGTTGGGAATTAAACTGAACTGCTGCAGCAAGTACTTTGATAGGATTGTGAATTAATGAAGAAAAGCTGTACAGATGGTTATAGAAAGGTGAAATAAAAGCAAAGATGGGAGAAAAGGGGAAAGATAAAAACAAAGAGGAAAGAAAGGATATTGCTGAAAAACGTGGCAACCTAAGGAGGTGTAAGGACTTTTCTGTGTCATTTTCACTTGTCCATGCATTGTGCATAAGTTGCATTCTGCATATCTCACTGCAAACACATGCATGTTGTCCTGTTTCAGGGTATTTTCCATTTTGATGCTTCCAGTGTGGGCAAATGAACACTGTTACTGCTGTTATCTGTACCGAAAAAGATGAAGAAATAACCATTCTCTGTGAACGTTTCCTCTGCTCAATTAAGAGCTTTTTATAAATTCAAATTATGATTTTATAGGAATTTGTAGTATTGTTTGTCTGTTAGGTGTTTTCTGTAAATAGCACAGATGATTATTAGTCTAGGAACCCTCAGCTAACCTAAAGCGGGTAGCAGTTGCGCTAGTTAATACAAACCACGCTGCAGTACCCCCACAGTCAGCGAGAGCTATTTTATCTACCAACTAAGAACAGCCCTGGACGAGGCACATCTCCTTGCACTTTGATCGGATTGATTTCTGCCTGAAATCCCTGCTTGGCTGCAGTGCAAAGCGCTGCTGCACCACAGCCCTGCGCCTGCCAGCCGCTGGGCAGGGCACCACAGCCTCGCCGGGGCTGGAAACGGGACGAGCGTGACAGGAAGCGTGATTTTTTTTTCTTGTTTTTTTTTTTTTTTTTCTTTTTTTTTTTTTATTTTTGTTTCTTTTTTCTTCTTCTTTTTTTTTTTTTCTTTCCTTTTTATTTTTGTCTTTTTTTTTCTTTTTTTTTTCCTTTTTTTTTTTTTTTGTTTTTTTCCCTTTTCTTTTTTTCCTTTCTCTTCTCTTTCTCTTCTCTTTTTTTTAATAGCTGAAGCTCTTGGACCAGCCGAGCTTGTGCTGGCCTGCTGCTGTCAGCTGTTCTAGACCCTTTTGTCAGAGTTTTACACCGCTTTGGTACAACAAACAAGCAAAGTTGAAGGTTGGAGGCACCCTCAGCCGGTGCCGATAGCTAAACCTCGCCGCTGCCTTGGCATATATATTTATTTATGACACATCTATTTATTTATGACTTATTTATTTATGCATTTGCTGAGGATGGTGTGACACACCCCGCTACCACAGCCCGCCCCTTCCCCTCCCCTCACGGCGGGCAACGGGCGCGGCCCCCTCACCCCGCCCCCACCCCTCCCCCTCTGCGCATGCGCGCTGACAGAGGCCCCGCCCCTCCCCGGGCAGCCGTCTCCCCTTTCTAGTAACTTCCCCGGTGCGCGACGTCATCAGCGCGCGCGGGCGGCCGAGCCGGGTGTTTCCGCCCGCCGCTGAGGGAGCCGGAGCGGAGCCGAGCGGGGCGGAGGCTTCGGCCGGGCTCGGGTGGTTCCGGCGGGGCTCGGGAGGTTCCGGCGGGGTTCGGGAGGTTCCGTCAGCAGCAGCAGCGCGCGGGGAGCCGGCCCGGGCGCGGCCGCCATGTCGGAGAGCGCCGAGAGCCCCTCGGGGCGCCGCAGCCCCTCGGGCTCCCCGGGGCAGGGGCAGGGCCCCGGGCAGGGCCCCGGCGAGCCACGGATCATCAAGGTGACGGTGAAGACCCCCAAGGAGAAGGAGGAGTTCGCCGTGGCCGAGACCAGCAGCGTGGGGCAGGTCAGGGGCTGGGGGCTGGGGACTGGGGGCGGGCCGGGGGTGAGGGCTGCGCCCCCCTCCCCTCATCCCCTCAGCGCCGGGGCCTCCCCGGGCGCGTTGCGAAAGGCCCCGGGCGCCCTGGGGGCCTGTGGCGCACGCAGCGGGAGGGGGCACCTGCTGAATCATCGGCGCTGCTGCCTGCCGGGCTGCTGCCTGCTTGGAGGCTGGCCACGAGGCTCCTGCCCGCCCGCCCGCCTGGTCTGCACGGGTTGGAAGGGGAGCAGGGGGGGTGTGAAGCTGGGGGGGTCCTGCTGGTGGTGGGGGGGGGAAGGCGTCGCCACCACAAAATGCTTCCCAAAGGTGAAGGTCCCTCAAGGCGATCCGGAGCTGCTTTCGTTTTTAGGAGGGTTTGCTTAAAACTCACCCTGAGTTTCCTTTGAACGGGGCAACCTTTTGACTTCACGTTGTTTCTCTTGTGTGTGGTCGGTAACAGCAATCCAAAAATTGTTAACGTGCACCGATGTCTGGATGCAGTGCCTGATATCGTGCCTTAGGGACGAGACAAAAGACACAGCTGTGGCTATCGGGGCAGCACAAAAGACAAACTAAACGCTCCCGAGCATAACGTGTGGTGCCAGCGCCTTGGCTGAAAATCAGACTTCTGCTCCACCTAGTCGCTGTAAAGAAACAAAGTGATGTTTTTTTTGTTTTTTTTTCTTTCAAGTTTTTCTCCTTGAGTCTGTTGTAGGTGTTTTTTTTTTTTTTTTTTTTTTTTTTTCCCCTGTCAGCATTTGGCTTGTAAGAATCCCAGACGTAAGTTTTATCGAGGCCTTCACTCCCGCTGCCAGAGGTGTTTCTCTCTTATCTCCACTGGTCTTCTGGCAGCCGCAGCGCTGCATGCTATCTGCCACTCTGTCCGCAAGCTTAATCTAGGCGTTTCTCCCAAAGGTAAAATGGCTGTGTTTGCTTTTGATGTTGTCCACAGCTTTCCCAGAAATCTCAGCCTGGAAAAGGTACTTTGTTTCTCTCTTCTCCCTGCATGTGTGAACAGCATTAATGCAGTTGCTGTAAAGTTCTTTGCATTTTATTTTTTTTTTTATAAAAAGATTCATATGCTGGATCCAACTAAAGGATCGTGTTTGTCCTGAAAAACAGTCTGATTGTGGGTATTTGGGTATTTCAGGAAGTATAAACACACTTACTTAAGGTGTGAATTTTGTAGGGTATCTTTAACAAGGTTGTTTCAGATGTGGATGCCAGTTGAGGTTTCTGTAGTGGGCAATTGTCTCAAAAACTGAAATAGATGAGCAAGAAAGAACATAAAACAGACATACATTTTTAGGTGATTGACAGAACATGCTGCTTGAAACATCTTTGTTGTCAGTATGTCTTAAACTAAACATTGTACGGCAACTCTGTTGGATACATGTACACAGATCAGATTCACAGTTATGTCTTTGTTCCCATGAAATAGGATTGTCCGTGGGGGTCCACTGTTGCTGTGAGTCCTAGACGGTGCCCTAACCAGCACTAAAAAGTGCACTGTCCACTAGTGAGTAGTATCGTGCTGTTTGTCTTAACCTGTAATCATAGACTGTTGTTAATAATAAGCGTCAGCAGTAAGTGCGATGTTTCTAGAGTCAGCCCTGAAAACAGGTCAGTCTCAGATACAGAACAAGTTGAACATCTGTTCAGATGTGCCTGGGATCAGTAAGTGTGTGTTTGTTGTTACGGATGGGCCATCCAGGTCTACCATATTTGCAGGGGGAAAAAAAAAGTGCTAAATGCATAAAGCAAAATAAAAGCTATTCAGTGGCATATTTCAATAGCTGACATTATTGTTTTGTGAGTCGCTTATTTGTTGGCCGCTTTCAGTCTGCTGCCAGAATGAAACTCCTTTTTTTTTTATTTTTATTTTTTTTAAGATAAATACTTAGAGCTATTGGGGCCAAACATGGGGCTACGCAATATGTATCTGACGTTGCTCTGTTAATCTAGAATCATAGAACATCCTCGTTTGGAAGGGAGGGGCCTCTGAGAATCACCAGGTCCTACTCCTGGCTCCACACAGGGCAGCCTAAGAGTTAAACAATGTATCTAAGAGCATTGTCCAAAGGCTTCTTCAACTCCAGCAGGCTCAATGTTGTGACCACTGCCCTGAGGAGCCTGTTCCAGCACCCAAGCACCCTCTCAGTGAAGAACCTTTTCCTAACACCCATCCTGGAGCAACTTTAAGCCGTTCCCTTGTATCCTATCAGAGAGAAGAGGCCAGTGTTTCCATCTCTGCTACGCCTCGTGAAGCTGTAGGCAGCAATAGGGGGATCACCTCTCTGCCTTCTCCAAGCTGAACACATCAAGAACTCTCAACTGCTCCCCTGAAGTCACGACCTCTCAACCCTTTACCATCTTTGTTGCTTTCCTTTGGACGCCTCTAATAGTTTAGTATCCGTTTTATGTCATGGAGCCCCAGACTGCACACACTACTTGAGGTGAGGTGGCACCAGTGCTGAGTACAGTGGAACAATTGCTTGTTTTCATGGAGCAGCCATACTGTGCTTACTGTGCCCCAAGATGTGGTTGGCCCTCTGGGCAGCCAGCACACATTGTTGACTCATATTGAGCTAAACCGTGAGTCAGAAGCCTACGTCCCTCTCTGCAGGGCCGTGCTCCAGGTGTTTGTCTCCAGTCCTGCATGTACATCTAGGATAGTACCATCTCAGGTGCAGGATCTGGAATTTAATCTTTTAAATTTCATGTGGTTTGTGATGCTTAGTGCTCTGATTTCTCAGGGTCTCTCTTTATGGCCTCTTTACCCTCAAGGGAATCAACAGGACTTCTTGACATCAGGAGGGGGTTCTTCACAGAGAGAGTGGTTGCACACTGGAACAGGCTCCCCAGGGAAGTGGTCACTGCACCGAGCCTGTCTGAATTTAAGAAGAGATTGGACTGTGCACTTAGTCACATGGTCTGAACTTTTGGGTAGACCTGTGCGGTGTCAAGAGTGGACTTGATGATCCTTAAGGGTCCCTTCCAACTCAGGATATTCTATGATTCTATGAACAGCTCCTCCTAATTTAGTATTGTCCACGAACTTGAATAATGTGTGCTCAACTCAACATAAACCAGATTTGCAACTGTTCTAAGTCAGGGAGGATTCTTCCGATGTTGGAAGACCTCAGGAACACAGGAATTGCTGTTGCTGCTCCTGTGTTGTGCATCCAGAACAGGCAGTAAGCAGGTTAGAACGCAAAATAGCTTCCAAGTGCAAAGCTGCTATAGGAGGTTAGTTAATTGCAAGTGCCACACATCTCTTTTTTTTTTCCCCTTCTGTAACTGTTTGTGCTGAGCATGTTTGCTCAGTGTAGACAAGGAACGAATATTTCCCTTCTTGACTGTGTATGATAATGAATTTGCAGGCCTGTAGAGTGCTTTGCGCCAAGATTTCTATTATGTAGGTGAAAACGAATACTTGTGAGCCTTATGACTACAAGTTCCCATTCACTTGAGCTCAGTAAAACTATCCTCTTTTTTTTTTCTCCTTTGCTTTATATTGTGAGTTCATGGCAATAAAACGTTTACAGTTCTTTGCTTAGCAGAGCTGATTTAGCAGTGTGTTTTGTTAAAGCACATACATGAAGAGAAGGCGTAGTCACATTAATGAATGCTCACATCCTAATGCGAATGACTTCGGTGGTTTAAGTAATGTGGTGTTCGAACTGGTTATATGAAAAACAATTTGACTTCATCCTTTACTCTCTCTTCACCACAGGGCAATATTGGAAGAGCAAAAGCTTGCTGAGATTTACGTTGTGCTGCTTGGAATGCTAAGTGTTAAAACGTGCGTCCAACCTTGTTCGAAGTTTTATTATTACAATTGGTTCAGAGTTGCTATCCAGTGATGTGTATGCAGACTGCAAGATGGGAAGATGGGCAGAGTGCAGTCTGCAGTAGTAGCATGTTTGTCAGCTTGTGTTTTTTAAACTAGTTGAATTATGTGTGCTAATGTATACATCCTGTTGGGACTCTGCTTCTTGACAAGTGGAGATCTCACAAAGTTCTATTCTGTGATCCAAACTTGAGTGAAATTTATGGTCGAAACATTAGATACATAAATCCTGTATTTCAGATTTGTGCCTGCTGCTACTCGTAGTCTTGAAGAGGCTATATTCTACTTACAAAGATCACACAGGTATAAAGGTGTTAAGGGGAGCATTGTGTAATTGGGTAGTGGAACATCTTTCCCAACTTACATAAGCTTTTAACACTTGATATGATGTTTTCTTTCATAAGCGCAGGTTAATTTCTGTTCTTCAACCTAATCCAGTTCTGTCTTTGTAGTCAAGAGTTACTGAATGGTACAACCAGAATAAGATGAGACCACATACGTTATATGCTGTTCTTTCTCAGTATAGTGATCAAGATTCCTGTTGTCATTCAAGACTCTTAAGTATATAAATTGTTCAGCTTCAAAGCATTTTCCTTTCCATGGTTTTGTGTCTTGCTGCATTTAGACATGTTATCGATGTGTCTGTATGACTCTTCATGGACTTTTCCATATACTCTGATTATTCACAGTCTTTAAGGTCCCTTCCAATCCAAATCATTCTCTGACTATGTTTCTGACTTTTTTTTTTTTTCTACTGCTCAGAGTTGGGAAATATGATTAGAACAATGTCAGGCTGCTGTGGTGGGCTGCCACGTCCCACCACATGTGCTCTCACTCTCCCATCTCAGCAGAACAGGTAAAGAAATCAAAATGAAGAAAAACCCACAGGTTGTGGGTTGAAGTAAGCACAGAGACATCGCTGACCAATTACTGTTGTGGTGAAAGCAGATGTGGCTTGGGGAAGATTAATGTGTTGCTAGTTGCACAGAGCAATGAGACATAAGAGCAAACTAAAAGCACCTTTTTCCCCACTCCCTGCTTCTGCCTCCTCTCCCTGAGCAGTGCAGGGGAGCAGGGAATGGGGGCTGCAGTTAGTCCCTGATGCTTCATCTCTGCCACTCCTTCATGGTCACTC